GACTTCAAGTGAAATTTCCCAAAAACTCAAATGTTTTCTGTGAAAAAGAACTTCAAATTTCGAATTAACAGTAGAATTTAAGTGCCATTTTCTTAAAAACAACTGCAATTTTTTAAACAAAATTGCAATTTTAGATGAGGTTTTACTGTTCATTAATACTCATTTAATAATATTTCTAATCTACTAATAGGAAACCCAAAAATTAAGAAAAAAAATATGAACTTTGAGCGGTGATAGATGGGAGCTCGCAAGAGTATGTAGCAAGTTCGTGAACCTAGCCGAGACCAAAGAAATAGAAAACGAATACAGGAAAGTCTGTCATTCCGTACCATCACTAGTTACTTTCTCATATACGTAATAATATAAGTAGATTAGAGAAAGTTATATGTTGCTGCGCAAAAAATCAGCAGAGTTCCGTCAAAACAAGTCCTGATAACGTAATTGATGGCATTGACGAGTCCTGATAACGAAAACGTGCTAAAATTCAATTGCTATTGTTTTTTACTAGCCTCTCATGTCGTTAATATTTACTTTAGAGGAGATTTCTTCACATTATTTAATTTACGAGTATATGTGAGTTAAAGTATGTCTGATATAATTTGTCGAAAACAAAACGTTTCTCTGAAAAGGAGTTCAAAATTTTGCATTTTCAGAAACGGTCAAATGTAATTTTGTCAAAAAGGCTCCAAATTTTTTTTATTCAAACGTTTCGTACGTCTAGTACTAATTTAACAGTTTAGAGTGATATAAAAATTAATATTGCTGTATTGTTTTGTTTTTCTAAAATTACGGAAATGTAATTTTTTTGAAATCTCTCTCCCTCCGTTAATATTCACTTCTCAGAGCAAATTGTATACATTATTTTATTTGTGGGTAGAAGTGCTTGAAATGACTAAATGAAGTTTATAGAAAACTGAAAAGATTGTATTGAAAAAGTGCTCCATATAAGTGCAAAAATTTTTTTAAATATTTATTTTAAAAAAATAAAGGAAACCCCAAAAATTAGGTCGAAATACAACAAATAAAAGGAATTTTTGAATTAAAAATTACAAAAAGGCAAAACATAGAAATCGCAGATGTAGAAGAGCCGCTGATGATGAAGAAAGCTGAAGTGAAACAGCAGCCACGAGAATGGAGGTTACTTCATAACATGAAAAGATTTAATAGGAACTCCAGCTTCAAAATCAAGGTCCAAAATTTACAGTATTGATTCCCGGTTTGGACATTTTTATTATTTAAAACGCTAAAAAAATGTGATAAAAGAGCTTTAGAATGCTGAAGTGAGACAATCGGCGGCGAGAATGGAAGTGGCTTCATAATAAGAATTAAAAGTAAATTCATACTCCTAGAACAAGGTCCAAACTTAACAGTAATAATTCTCGTTTTGGACATTTTTATTGTTCAACAAAACTAAAACTATGCGATAAAAAAGTTTTGGAAGTCTGAAATGAGACAGACGGTGGCGAGAATGGAAGTTGCTTCATAATATGGAAAGAATCAGGATGGGAAACCATTTTTCTAGATCAAGATCCAAATTTCGCAGTAATGGTTCTCGTTTTTCACATTTTTATTTTTTAATAAAGATAAAAATGTGATAAAAGATTCTTGGAGGGCTGAAGTGAGACAGATGGCGGCGTGAATGGAAGTGGATTCATAACATGGAAAGAATTAGCAAGTAAATCCATACTTCTATATCCATACTATATCAAGGTGCAAATTTCACAATACTGATTATCGATTTCGATTTTTTTTACAAAGCTAAACTAATATGTGTAGAGAGAGTCGCGGAAGGCTGAAGGGTAATGGACCGGCCACAAGCACCAACGGAGCGGCTACGAGCATTTTATTTTTATAATGTAAATATTTCTAAAAATAAAAGAAATGTAATTGGTTGTACATTGTTTATATTTGTAAATGTTCTGGAATACTGACAGTATAACAATATTTCAACTTTGATCCTAGTAATTTTTCAGGCAATTTTTGGAAACGTTCTTAGGGAAAAAATGCGTTGAAGACACATAGTAACCACGGCGCACGTTTACTGTCAGAAGGAAAGTGAGCCGCACACAAAAAATACAGAGCTGACGTGATGTCATTTAGCATGTACTTACAATTGTCCAGTAGTTTTAATGGTATTTAATTTTATAAATTTAAAATTCAAAGTTTCAGATAAATTCAGTGATGGTAGCAGTTACTTTGTGGTAATGTGCGTTAGGAAATAACCAATCCCTACAAATTTTTATCTAATAAAACATTCCAAAGTTATCTTTTGGGACATACTTTTTCATTTTTCAGTGGTTATATAACCTGGAAAATGAGAAATAAGAAAATAACATAAAGTATGGAAGCACTATGAAAATACAAGAAACATACTAGATAAATGTGACTAATTAAATATTACTTACTACACTGAAGTAATGTGCAACACTGTTAAAAATAATAGTAGGTAATGTGCTGGAACTAGCAAGGAGGCCACCATTATGTAGAATAGGGGTAGTAAAATCCATAGGGGAAGGGGGCCACTCAACTGTTTGAAGGAGACAGTCAATAAAATAGTTTAAAATGGTACGGCTTTTTATTAGGAAATATTCATTCAATATAGAACAATTCTGATTTTCGTAAAGTTTCAAAATTTCTAATTTTTAAAAAAATTCATTTTTTGCTCTGTGACTACGTAAAGAATTTGAAGTCATTATGGGGAGCGAAAGAGTGGTTAACTTTAATTAAATATTTAGCAAACGTAGAAATATACCAATTTTGTTTCTAACATCTAATGGGTTTATTAATTCTGCCAGAAAATTTTCTGCCTTTTGTCCTACACAGGTAGAATCATAGTTATTACATGTAAGACTATTGTCTTGCAATGGAGGATGGAAGATTTGAAATTGAGGAATAAAGATCGTAGGGAGTTTAATGTTTTGTAAGATATAAAAATATAGTGTTTTGTGAACCATTGGACTATGTGTTTAGATAATGATAGTGGGATGCAAATGAATTTCTTAGATTCCAAAGATTAATTCTTAAATTTCATCTTCCATAAAATCACATTAGTGGCACCATTTATTTTCACTTTCAATAACTGCTTCTAAACTTATGTAATTCATCTATAAACCTATTTACCTCTTCCTTATATCTGCGGATTATTTTTTCCTTCCAATCGACATGGGCTTAAATCACAGTGTCCGTTAACACACCGACATTCCACGCCACATGTTACCACTTCGCTCCCTCCTTACCAAAAGCGCTTTCGTAAATGTAGGAGTCACGTCATCTAAATTCTACTCTGGCAAACTCTTTTGATACTTTCAGAAACTTCCGTCCTGTTATAAAGCACACGTTTTAAATCGTTCCGATTCAGTCTTGCGTCCCTGGTGAGGCATGTGACTTGTTTTACTAATCACAGGGCAAACGGTTTGCCACAATATTCATTATAAAAATAATGTTTAAGACGTATAAATGGCAATTATTTTGAATCCTGTGAGTGACATTACGACAAATGTTGGCTTGGGACGTGGGCACCCTCCCCGTTGCCCTCCTTGCATCTGCCACAAGTCATGATAATTATTGGATTGGAGTGTTTAGTTTCCTAGATTTTGTTGTGAAGCGCTGCTCACTTCTTACCTTCAGTTTTACAGGACAGACTTAGGTGATGCACGATCTGATAAATGTAGTTATATAGAGTGTTTTCCTATGGTCTGTCACGCCAAACCGCGCCCGCACGAGCTACTTGCCCGCCTGAGGAGTACGACGCTCCTACGGGCAACTTCCCTCACTCTGCACTCATTTCCCCTCTAAATCCAGAAAGGGCTGTACATGCGCAAGCTAAATCGAGATGGTGAATAGTGGTTTCATACGAAAATATGCTTGCCAGATTTTATTATAGAATTATATTTTGTTTATATTTTTCACTACTTGTACCTACTTGCTTTTTATTTTCTCACTAAATTCTCCCCTATACAAACATCTTTTCTAAGTGCCAGAAATATGTTCCAAGGGCAAATTATTTCCTTATAAAATAAATTAACAATGTTAAATTATAATTAAATGCGAAATAAATTAACAAGTCTCTATAAGTTAAAAATTAGCGCTTACGGACAGCGCTTTCAACAGATAACATTTGCCTTTTGAACCTTCTAACCTCATGCTACACATTAATATCACTCTTAAGTAGTCAGGATTACAAAATTATTTACTTTTGATTCATTTTTTTAAAATTTTACCTTCGTTTGAGAATTTGAAATCTGATGTGTTATTTCATTTTTATGGATAATTTCTTTGCTTTAATGAGAAAATGGGAATTAATATAGCTAAATTTGGGACTAGAACCGTCAACTAACTTCTCTAATAGTTTGTCAAAGGCCACGTGTCCAGTAACACACCGCCACGCAGTAGCATTGTACAACCTATACTTTTAAATCTCGCGCCAATTTCTGTGAACGAAGTGTCCTCGAGCTCTGGTAAGCTTCTTACCTTGCCTGCGACCTTAACATGCCTGCTGTAGATAGTCAACATATGTCTATTTAATTGGATTTATTGTTGAAGGGTGGTTCCCAAGGGTAGTTTAAAAACAAACATTTTTTTCAAAAAATGAGAGCTTTTTTAATTAAACAATAGATACAAAATTAATAAAATAAAAAATTACAAATCGTGTCTTCATTCGCTGACATCAGAGGTTCACAAATTACAAGAAAAATCAACACTCAATATTTTTGTTAACATCGCCTAGATATAAAACAATTCAATGTTTAAAATGTACAAAAGAAAAATATTGGTATATAGATGAAAAATGATACATGCAACTTCCAGTTTAAGATAGTTGTCCCATCATCTTCAAAGATTCACTTGTATTGATATCAAAATACAGACAGAGAGACATAGAGTCAGTTTTCAGTCTCAAATTTGAAACTGATAATTAATTTTTGGGGACACCTTGATGTAAAGGTACATCGAAAAAAACCCTAGATTTTCCCAAATTTTTCAAAAATTTGTATTAATTTTTTCCTTCAATTTTTATCACTATGAAAAACAAGAGGTACTGCAATGACAAACTTTTGCATTAACTATAACTTTTGCAATTTTCTAAAATTCAGATAGTTCAATGGAAATGCGACATACACTATTCTTTTAAGCGTCTCGTGCTCTACTCAAGGGGAAAAATAGAAGAAGAAATCCGAGCAGTGTTTGTGAAGTTTATAAAATAGTATACATTAATTTATATCAGATATTGCTATATTGAAAATAAAATTCATTGTTGGTTTTAAAAAATGTGCATGATTTTTTTAGAGTTAATATTTTATAACAGAGTTTATTTAAGGTAAAAATCTTTTTCCTGGTTTTTGCAGCTTTGAAATGTCAACATCTTTCAATTTTAAATATAAAAGTTACCCGGAAATGGGATCAGATCTTGTTTACCGTTCGTTGATACATACAGGAGAAAATTAAAAAAAAATTGGAATCGTTGTTGAGAAAATAATTCTTTAAAAAAATTAAAAATTGCTTATAATTCGCACAAACTTAAGCGAAGGGTACGTATTTTCAAAAAATGTACATGATATTATTTCACCATCCGTCTTTGAAGGACAGGTTTTATAAAAGAAAAATTTTGAATCTTCAATTTTATAGTTGCAGGAAGAGAGAATTTTAGACACTGTCAAGTTTTGAAAAATCAGAGAATTCGACAAAAATGTCTGCGCCATTCTTTTAATTGTTCTCTACGCTATCCGAAAACAATGTTCTACAAAAGAATGTGAACCAATTTTAAGAAACGTTTGAAAATTTAATTGAGTATTCATATAAAGTTCATTAAAAAATCAAACCGTCAATTTTTTCTCCGTTTGGTTTCTAGTTGTCAATACTGTCTTATATGCAGTCAAGACTCTACATAAAACTACAATATTCAGGCGAAAACAGGTTTCAAATTTTCTGTTTCGAGAATTTAAAGGCTTCATTTTTCAACGCGAGAAAACATTAATGGCACCCCATTGCGTGGTGAAAGCATAAAGCTGTGAATGTTGTACTCCATCTTGGAAGGCGTTGCTGCATATGGCCAAAACTTGTAATTCAAGACAAGATGTGCTAGGCCAAGCTTACCTTGCAAATAAGCAAGTTTGAAACCTGTGAAAAGTAAATTGAAGATGTAGAGTAGTTTATGGTGCAAGAATAAAATTGCATTTATTCATCAGCGAGATGTAAGCTGAAAAAGCGCTACCAAAGAAAGAGATTATATCTAATTTTGACATCCTCATATATTATATTTTGTTTAAAATTATGTAAACATAAAACGTTAAACTCAAACAATTTAACATTAAGTTTAATAATGCCTAAAATGAAGCCATTTCAATGGTTGGATAGAATTAATGTTGTAGAGATGTGTAACTAAACGTACGAACAAATCAATATTTGTGCGTGAACAGTGCAATTCTATTTCCTTTATTTTCATTTATGTTTATTTACACTGAAAATTACAAAGGTAGTTGTTTGCGTGGTTGGGGTTTTAAAAAATTTTTTACACGGACGCTTGTTGTGAAATCATTTGTTTCTTTGTGATTCTACAAAAATGTACCCATCCTATTCTGTTCCTTCCTCGTGTTCTTCTGAGTTTGCAGCTAATGACTTCAATAAGCAAACCCTGAGCATTCTGTTCTGTTTAGGCAGATGTCTAGCAGTCTCAGTCCGTGTTTGATATTTTTTGCTTCTACAGAATTGTGTGTTTCCTGTTTTATAAATGATACATTTTAAACTTTTATTTTGATACATTTGTGCGACCTAATATTCCACCAGCTGATGCATTTGGCGAATATTCGCTTCCTTTCATGTGTGCAAAAGATCGACACACAGTGGATAGGGAGAGCACAAAATGTTTGTCGCTCGACAAATAGCAACCCACCCACACTACTCGACTGTTAATAATTGTATCTCCAGCACCTTGGTGTATTTTTTAAATAGAGTTAAATTATTTCATTCCCTGTTAAATATTTTAGTTAATACTTTATTTAAAATATTTTCAATTTTTATATCTTTGTTATATTTCAATTATTTTTTGTCAGCAAATATTTGTAATTGTCTATAATTATTGATGATTTACATCGACTTTGTAATGGTGGGAATTTACTAACATTAAGATATATTTTACCAAATTCCTTCTATATATTACTAAATAGTGATTTTACATAACTGCGAAAACTTAAAATGTCTTGCAGTGAAAAGTAGGCACTTAACTTGTTGACAGCTAAGTCACAAGAGAGACACAGAAATTACTAGCAATATCAATTGGATAACATTATTGAATCATACAATAAACAAACTAACAGTTGTTCAACTCAACACAGTAAATTTAAATAAACGACCACCATTTTTCTACGAGTGCTACTGTTTAATTCCTGGTCCCTGACTGGAATTGAGATGGACAGTTTGTAAAAAGTTGTATTGATGGCAGTTTTCCCTATATTTCCCCATTCTTGTGTTTTCTATTACATGTTGCTAGAGAAATAAAAATAAATATGTTTGCATTTATTTCGGGAGTAAACGCGCCATGTAGAAGCGGATCGAGTAAATACCTGTGGAACAATTGCTTCTCATGCACATCAAAGAACATAACTCATGCACATTGTATGACTTTTAAGACGCTCAGTTTAATAAAATATACTAAGCGACTATACTACTCACTAGGGCGAAACCTCTATAAGACAGAAACCCACCATACTAAACAAAAAAATCTCAGAACGAAATGATTTTATACGTGAAAATTACCTTAATTAGCCGATAACTGTCTTTTGCGGAACCGGCAAGGCTTTTAGCGAACTTAGTGTCATCTTTACCTGGTTAAGAAAAAAAATAAATTTATGGCACACTCACTTTCGAATAGTTCACTGCGGAGGGTCACGTCCTGAAACAATAGAGTAAACGACGAGTTTTTCCTCTTATTTCTTCTCTCAGGAATTCTTCAAAAACTCTGAGAATATTTCCCGGAGACATTCTTTGGCTTTGGTGTAACTTCCGAATTCTTAATGTTGGTAATTCGCACACCAGTCAATTCTCAAAAGAGACACCTTGTCCCGTAAGTCGACAATGGAATTGCGAGTAGTCTCTCGCTTCATCCTAGCTGTCGTAGAATTGACGACGTGTATACCTTACAATTTGGTAGACAATTTAGTATAAGAAAGCTGTGTATTAGTGTGTCAAAATGTCTTTACGCCATTCGTGCAAAACATTACGCAACAGAAGAAAATCCTTATTTTGCTGTTAATTTTTAATGTAATATTTTCATTGTTACATTTTTTAAATTTTTTCTTATTTTGTTTCACAAACAAAATTATTTCGAAAATACTGTACTTAAGTTTTATGATATTTTTTTTGGAATCCTACCGAAACGGAACTTTTTGTAAAATAACAAACCTGTTCCGTTTTATACAGGTTTTAACGAACGTGATATCACTTCTGCGATATGTGCACTTACCTAGGCATTTCCGAGGACCACTCCCAAAAGGCACGAAACAGTTTGGAGGGATTTTCGATTTCTCGGAAAATCTTTCCGGGTCAAAGCGATCAGGGTCGGGAAAGAACTGAGGGTCCCTTTGGATTCCATATAAACTTCCGAAGACGGTAACGCCTTTCTCGATGACGATGTCGGTGCCAGGAATATTATAATCTCTCGTGCACGTTCGGTCCAGGAAAGGAAGAATCGGGTACAATCGGAGTGTTTCTAATTGAAGAGACCATAATATAAGTAATTAATAAATATACTGTAAATTAAAATAAAATACGTTATAAGTAACTTAATGCTATTGTCGAAAATCTTTAGTAATACTGTAATTTTACAAGAAACATTTTCCAAATTCAAACACAAAGACTGCTCACAAAATTAAATTTCATAAATCGTAGTGAGACTTTGAATTAATAACTATCTTACAGGACACTTAGAGACAGAAAAAGTCAAACTCAAACTAATCAACACTCGTACAATTCTGCATTAATTTCCACTGTCAAGAAAAGGAGTCATTTCTCACTTTTAAAAATGAAAAGAACACGAATGCATTTAAATGTTACAAAATATAATATAGAAAACCAAGAATAATTTCGCACAAGCCTACCTTCATTACATTTGAAGCGTGCTTTGAATTTTTAATAGCAAAATCAGCGATTGAAACGTATTAAAGTAAAGAAGTATGGTTTTTAGTTCTAAGATAAAGTTTATTACCTTTCTGCAATCTGTTTCCTTTCATAAAAATATTATATACATCATACAATCAACATGACCGACAACAATGGGATAAATTCGAAGAAATTTGAAACCCCAGTGTTGCTGTTTCTCGAACTGGTAACTCCTGAAACGAAGCCCGCAAAATTCGAATTTACAAGTCCATATTAGCAATTTTTGAAAATGCAGAAAGCGCCAAAAATCGCCGACCATCTCCCCTATCTTTACAGTTCTTTACTACATACTCAGATAAAAATAAAAGACAAAATTTGAAGTTATTTCTGAGAAAAATGTTTAAAATGTTTTTAAAGTGCCTATATTTCATCAAAATTTAGGTACAAAATACTTATATTTTCGAAATATATTGAACATAATTTCTTTTGAAGAAATATTTTCGATAAACACATTTCATCAAAAAAATACCCTTAAAATTTTAGTTGTAGGATTACGCCGAAAAAATTTCGAAATTTTGCAATTTTCTAAAAACCACGATTTTCAACGAAAGAGACCTGTACTATTCTCTTAAACGTCTTTGACACTATCCATCATAAACATTTGTCAAGATTGTTTTCAAGAATTACACCGTTCTCAATTCATTCAATCATTTGATACGTATTCAAAAAGTAGTTTGTTACAACTTCATAGAACCAGTATATCCGGATGTCTATTACCGAAAAATAATTCTGGTATTCGGGGTTTTATTTACGAAATCATAGGCTACATGTTGACTTCCTTTAGTTGTACTTCATGCCTTACCTGAGAAAATCATATCCAAGTACTTCACACTTTGCAATGCATCATATGAAAGTTTCCCCTCATTATTCTGAACTACCTCTTGCAATATATTTCTGAGCTTGTCTTGAATGACTTGCTCTTTGGCCAAGTGGTACAAGGCGAAGCTCATAGTAGCCGATGTGGTTTCGAAGCCAGCGGTAAACATAGTGAATGCTTGAGCAATGAGCACATCGCCATCCATATCTGAGAAATATGATAGTCTCGGTTAAAAAATGTTACGTTTAAAATAATGGTTAATTTGGCTAAACTATTTGATTTGAAGCATTTTATGAAGGAGGGTGCAAGATGAAACACAGTACGGTACCTAGGAGAGACTAAAGGAAAAGATGGCAGAGGAGAGCTGATCAAAAAAGAAATCAGGGGAAGAAGTAAGTTGGAAGAAGAAATGAATGTCTAAAAAGTAGATACAAGTGAAAAGAAAAAAAAGAAAGGAAGAGGAGACCAGACAAAATAAAACCAAATACTACTTTCGTAATAAGAATTGGTAAGAAAGTGCAATGAGGCACGGAAAAAACACTACTAAATTATTTCATAAATCCAAAATAAAGATATTAGATTATTCATTCAAACACTTTACAAACGTGTTTATATTTGTAGAATTTAAATATGTGTGTGCAATAAGCGGCAAGATGTGTTTATACAAGTGTATATAAGATTCTGGCGTGTACAAGAACAAGCGTGTGGATTATCACTACCTTCCCCCGACCCCGTCAAACGTCAGCCGAGCCGTAAATAACAATGTATACCTCTGTATAAGTCCCCCAAATCGTTTCCCTTCACAAACTCACCACTTACGCTGGAACCAGCTTCTTCACCGCTCTCAGTAGAGTCATTCTCTACTATAGGACCATTGCCATCATCAGCAATGCGTCTACCAGAATCGCCACCATCGGCCGTGTCCTCGTCCGCAGCGATGCGGCCCTTGTCGCGCAGCTCGAGCAAAAGGTCGAGCATGTCCCTGCGCGCGCCCAGCGTCCCCGTGCGCTCCCGCTCGCGCGCAGCCGCCCACACCGTTCTGCGCAGGAAGTCGGCCAGCGGCGCCGGCACCAGCGACAAGCGCAGCAAGCGCAGAAGCTGCATGTTCACGAAAATCGCCAGCGACTGCGCAGAAAGAGACGCCCGCTTTACGCGGCCTTCACAAGGAGCCACTTGGCTGCGCCACCTAGAAGCGCCTTCATACACAGCCAATGACCAGCGCCACTCAGCGTGGGAAAGGAAGGATTCTAGATAAATCACTGTAGGCACCGGCGGCCGCAATGTAGCCAAACAACTAGCATCACTGGCACGTCCGAGTGGCCTAGTGTGAAGGCTGCCATTTGGAACTGTGTTCTGCTGTCGGTGGGGCATTAGCGCATTTGCACTACTGCTGGCTAAAATGTGCCACTAGTCATCACTGCGGCGCCACTACATGGCTCTTGAGAATACCTTTATTTTTACCAATGTTTACTCACATTAGCCCAATCGAAAATGTAGCCCAAGTGCCTTCAAGTGAGTAAAATATCATAAAGACTGCCTGTAAAATAACTCAAAATTCCAAAGATGTTTCATTTCGAAGGGGAGTGACTTTAACTATATTGAGGAATATAAATTTTGATAGAAATCTGTTGTAAGGTGTAGGCTTTAAGGTTTGGGCACATAAACAGACAGACATACATAAAGAAATAACACTTTTTTGATATCGTGTTCCCATATCACATTCCCATGACATGAGATTCTACTCTACATACTCATGAAAGTAATATTTTATGCGAAGAGGGGGAGAAATCCACATCTTCGATATTAGCTAACCACAAAACGTGTCTTTCTGTCGAAAAATAGAATCTTTTTCTTGCAGTATGACTTAAGTTTTGTACGAACTACGTATGAGAAAGTAAAAATATGCAAATCGCGGAATCTTCTCGTATGTGCTGAAGTTTAAATCCCAGCACGAACAAATATTATGTAACACTTGCGTGGGCTAATACTAGTGTAATATTAAGTAACCGTAACAATAATACGAAAAATACGATATAGTAGCCACACAAGATTTTTCAATTGTAGTAAAAACGGAAATTTATGTTAATTTAATTTTTCTTTCTTTCGACACACTCCAACTATTGAGAGTGACCTTCAATGTTAAGCCATGTTTGTATTCTGTTATACTCGAACTAGAATGTCTAGTATTTACCAGTAGGTGTGTGAAGGACTTTGCCACGGATATACGGTTTAAATATGACGTCAACTATTCACCTCACGACATCGCATCCGATGCAAAGTTCAGCGTGAGAGAGTTTGGACGTCTCCGTATCTGTGGACAAGAAATGCCTATCTTACTGCGATTACTACGACCACGTCATTTGCGCCAACGCTTCTTTGTTTTAGGGGGGGGTGAATTAACGGAGGCGGAGACATGGTCAAAGAAGAAGAGGGCGTGCACTCAAGCCTTGAGCGAAAGATGGGAGAGAGAGAGAGAGAGAGAGAGAGAGAGAGAGGGAGAGAGGGAGAGAGGGAGAGAAAGCGAGATGGGCACAGGTTAGACATCACCCTCTTCCTCCTTCTCTTCTTTTTAGACGTCCAGCTTGCAGAACACGTCAGGCCTTACTCTCCACCTACCTCTTTTGTGTCTCGAGGGCCCGCACACACACACTCAGGGAAAATCTATTTATGCAGCTATTGATTGAGTTCAAATTGATCCTTCCTATAATTGAATTTACTGAAAGAAAGAGATGGATAATTAAAGAGATAATTTCTACGCTGTGAGTGAGAGGTGCAAATCATCACATTACCATGAAAAATAATCATTTATGATTTTTTATTACACATATTTAGCTAGTGCATCAACTTGGATGGAGAACTATGAGATATTTGTCAAAATGTCCGTCATTATCATCATCATCATCATTATCATCACCCCCATAGGCTTGACAATAAAATTCTTCCGGGCTTTCACACCTTCAAGAAAAGCAGCGTCACTGATTCTGCACCCTCAGATCAATAGTTTTCCAAACATGAATCACTTCTTGAAAACCGTACGATTTTTTTTGAGAAGCATTCTGCCTAAAGTCTTGCGCGTGAAGATCGCCCAGAGTAGTTTTGAACCTTCGGATGTCACCAAAATGGAGAGGATAACATGTGAAGTGTGCCCCTCTCTCTCCCTCGATCTTTCTCCTTCTCTCTCCCTCTCTCCCTCACTTTCCCTCCCTCTCCCTCAAGACGAGACCGCGCCCGCCTCTCCTTCCTACCCCGACACCGCCTTCGTTTATTCATCCACAAACGTTGTCGCAGAATATTAGACGCACGATGCATCATTTTTTAAAAAAATACTACTTCTATCACTATTCTACGCGCGCACGCTAACACAACCTTCGTACTCGTACCGAGGTAGATAATTCCAGTCCGCAAATTCGGTGGCGTCCGCCGACTTGTATGTAGGGCCCGGTCACCTAAATAAGTTACTTCAGCATACGCACCCTCGTACGCGATGACTTTAGTCAACAGATGAAATGATAGAAAGCATCGATCGAAACTCGATCAATAGTTAGATTTATGGATAGATGCGCCAAGTGTGTACGTGTGTGTGTGCGCGCAGACAACACAAAAGAGGAAGAAGGAGTGTAAGCCCTGACGTGCCTCGCAAGCAGGTCGTCACAAAAAAAGGTTCAGAGGGAGGGAGAGAGATAGTATGTCGTGTGCCCATATCTCTCCCTCTCTCTATCTCTCTGTCTCTCTCTCTCTCTCTCTCTCCCCACCACAGTTATCTCAAGACAATTGATCATGTCTCCACACCTTTGTACTTGCCATTCTCCGCCTCCGTCCATCCAAAAGCGCCCTCGCAGATGCAAAGACGCAAACGCAGCTATAGAACTCGCACTACGATATACATTTATAGTCCATAGATACGAAAGCGTACGCACCCTTGTACACGGGACTTTGGACAACGGATGTGACGTCGTGAGGAAACTAGTTGACGTCTCATTTCATCTAGACCGGATATCCGTTGCAAAAGACCCTCACAAACTCCTACTTAATTAGTACCCAGTCAGTGCTTACCGCCAGAAGGTAGAGCTTGCTGTAGACGAAAGTGGTCCGCAACACGCGGTGCAGCGGATCGTCATCGTTCGTGAGGGCGGTCGTCTCGATGCCGAAGCCCACAGTGGCGACGGCGTCCATCGTGTAGCGGGCACACGCGTTCGACACGTCACACGGCTCGCCTGACACACAAGGAACAGTGACTATGAAAATATAGGGCGCCACGAAAATCGGAACGATATTACCTGTAAGCGCATATTAATTTTTGAAGCAAGAAATTGTTGTTATTATTATTATGGAAAAATTGCAACCAGAAAAATTTTCAAATGTCACACGGGCTTTGTGTAAATACCCCCTAAATAAAAATGCAATAATGATTCACGGAATAACACAAGTAGATTTTCAGAGAGTAGGCTTCCTCGTCCGGAGTCAGTATTTACTAGGCTGTCCGGGTGACGCCGCATTACGCCCTGAGGAAGGTCGCAGAATGGCGACCGAAACGTCGGCACCTTCGCCATGTACGCGGCGACACCCGGACAGCCTAGTAAGTACAAGTAGATTTTACTCCTGACGTGTTTACAATTTTCGAGCTCAAAAGTTGGTAATATGAGTTCTGATCTCACACATACCCCAATCCTTTCATACGTACTGACATACATTCCTAATTTGGAGAACAAAATTACATGTTTCACATTGCTAACTGTCAAAATCTTCACCATATTTAAAACAGCACTAATATACAAATCTGATGGATGTGCGAAAATAATCTGAAAATAACTTAAAAACAAATTTAACGCCTGTTAATTCGAGATCTATAATTACGGTGTTGATTCCAATCCTGTTTACTGTTACTCCGTTCCATGGGTTGTGTAGGGATGAAAAGAAAAGATCGTAAATGTTTCAGAAGATATCTTTAATACCTTTTTCTGCAGCTTCGTCGAAATAGTGATCAAGGTTAGATGCTTTCTGTTCAATAAGATCGTAGAAACGTTTCAGTTTCGTTACGGGAAATGCTGGATGAAGCTTTAAACGTAGGTCTTTCCAACGGTCCCCTGGAATACAAAACACCAGATTATCCTGTCCTTGAGCATTATTTTCGGAATTCAGTATTGTTTTTCAAAAAGTAAACATTTCATACTAATTAATAAGTGTTTAGGTAAGAATTTGTATTTTTATTGAATTAAATATTTACAAAATGCAAGTTGTCAAAAATGTATTTAAGATGTTACATAATTGTTACGAAAAAATACAAAACAAAATTCAACTCAAAATCTCACCCTTTCTTGCAAATAGTGACTCAGAAAAAATGAGGTCATCTTTATCAGGTGAAAATCCCCTGTCTTGAAAATATTCAAAATCATTTGTTAGAATTTCCTTGAATAACTCAGCATCCTTAATGAAGAACACAGGTACATCATAAAAGAATAATCCCAAATAGGGCTCTTCCTTCATCCTGTAAAAATTATTGAATTAATGAAGTGCACAGAAAAAAAACTTCCCACTGAAGTCAAAATATTGTTACAAGGTGGATGTAGATCTTCTTAAATATTAATACATGTATTAACTATTGTTCTGAACACCTAACAAAGTATAGTAAAATCTATCGAAACCGGAATCGATCGGGACAAAAAAATTCTGGTTTAGGGAGGTTTCCGTTTTATGCTGGGCTGTCAATTTAACGTCACTTGTGACAATGAAATTTCCGTTCTGAAACTAGTAAGTTAATGTTAGGAAAGAAGCAATTAAAGTAAAGTACAAATTACATGATTTAATTATGATTTTGAAAATAAATTTACATTTATATTTATTTATAGAAGAAATCACCTATAAATGAATATGAACATTCTTCATTGGCAGCTTCTGAGTTTCTCTTGCTTTCACAAGTTTGACCTTTTCATCTAATGTTAGAGTTTTAAGTTTTTCATTGTTAAATTGGTTATGAAACTCATAAAATATACACCACCTAATGGTCCAATGGCTGAATGCGGACTGCTTGCTGACCTCTTTCAACACACAATACTCAAGCGCAGAGTACTATGATTTCTGAAAAGCCTCGCATAGACTTGACAGCATATTCGCCTCTGGTCAAGGGCGTTGCGATTTTTGAACGTGAGGCAGGAAGAGACGCCGAATTAGAAGTCATCGCCCCGTATCTTTCCAAGCTCATAAGGAGGGGGAGGGAAATTCTCCACCGGCCCGTACTTGAAAGACAAGTGGCCGCAAAGATCGATTTATATGCGATGTCAGCTGAAGACTTTCGCCTCGTTGCGGTTGCCAACGACTAAATCTCGTGGAGAGTACTTGCAGATGCATTCATTACATTGCTCTGCAATCACATTAAATTCACAGGATTCGTTTATGAAAAAGTTTTCCCTGCTGAAGGAGATGAAAAATCGTTCCGTTTCCGCGTTGGACAGAATTTCGGTTTTATGTTGGTGTAAAATGCCATATACCTTTTCGGGACAGAGAAGGTTTCCGGTTAAGGCAGGATTCTGGCTTGTTACGGTTCCGGTTTAAACGAAATTTTACTCTAGTATGAAAATGTCGATTTATTGCTCAATTATGATGAAATTCGAATACTATTAAGCAAAAAATTTTTTTTATTTCTCCATTACATTTTTAGATCTACCCTTGAACAGAATGCACTGTAATATGGCAATACCAACCGGTTCGTTTTTCAACCTCTAGTAAGCGCTTTGAAGATCGGCATGGGCGATACGGCTGCATGACTCGTAAACCATTCTTGTCTCTTTAACCATCATAAACTATTACATTCTTCTCACATAATTCCCAAATGATTCAAATTGGTTAGAAGGGGAAACATTAGAAAAAGGTCCGAATAAGAAAAAAGTCTGCGGGAGACGCGCCATCCATAATCAACGGCTTATCAAAATGAAATATCTTGCAAACATGGGCTATCAATAAACCGGAGGGTGCTGAGAAAAGGGTACACGCGTTTTAAGACTGTGGCTAGAAGGATATATATTGTGGCCAAAAGTATTATGTTAATGAAAAAATGGAAGGAATGTAAGAAAAACACTAACAACGGGAGTGTCGGCAGATTAGGAAAAGGTTTTTATGCCTACAAAAATCTCTTACTCTGCATTATCGTAGCGAATGTGAGAGCACATCGATGTTTTTTTTAAATTATCTTATTTCACATCTCATACAGTATTGAAATAAAAACTAGCAGACTTTATAGCTATAAAAAGTGAATGTTTGCAGGTTGTTCACCAAATGCTCGCGTATCACCCACCCCCCTTCTCCGTGAACAGCTTCATACAAGAAAGGAATAACATTTCTGTTACCCATTCCCATTAAAGTAAATATCTGTTAATACGATATATTTTAATAGTACATAAATGAAACGTATATAAAATAAAAATGAAAAAATATTATTTTAACTAGAATTTACAAAATATATTTTATGGAACTATACAGGGTTGCCAGATTGCTTGGAAAACATCTTTCACAAAGCCTTATAACAGCTCCCCAATACGCCAGATAAAAAATGCAAATATCAGGGATTCAATTTATTTGAAGTAGATTTTCTATTACGTTTAGATAGTGGGATATGAAAATTTTCACTGGTTCCAGGGCCCTTCTGCTCCCCCTGCCCTCGTAAAGAACTCACTGCGTGTAGACCTCGTGCAGCACGTCCCCGACGTGCTTGCGGAAGAGCAGCACGTCCTTGAGGTTGCCGGCGACGGGCAGAGGGCGCAGGAAGGGCACGCCGCGGCGGCGCCAGTAGTCGAAGTGGCGCGTGACGTAGGCGTAGAGGGCGCCCGCCGCGCCCACCAGCAGCGCCACCAGCACCGCCGCGCCCGTTGACGGCGCGGGCAGCGCCTCCAGCGGCAGCAGCCACGTCGACATCCCTCTGTCGTCTGCGTAAACGAGTCACTTCACTCCCAGCCACTCAGGGTACCGACTGGCAAACCATTGGTTTAAATGGACATATTAACGTGAGACGCCCCAAACAACGCACCCGCTTCCACGCCTCCGGCAGCGAAGAACGGTTTTAAATGTCAGCCTTTACACTAAGCCACTTGGAAGCGCTACTGAGCTTAGCTCTTTAACATGTAGCTGACGCACTTCTTTGAATTAGAAACTGATCTTTTAATTTGTGGTGGTACTCTACGATACATGAAACCCCTTCGCTTAACAGAATAGTACAGACCTCATGTTTTTGACATGACTGATTTTTCGAAAATTGCAAAACTGAATCTTTTCGGCGGCTTCCTACAACTTTAATATTGGGTTAAATATTTTTGTCGATAAAATTTGTTCTTAGTGACATATCTTGAAATAAAGTCATGTACATGTTTTCAAAAAATATGAACAGTTTTTGCAGAATGTTTCGTAGAATATAGGACATTTTTGATTTTTTTAAATAATAATTTTCTCAAAACCGGATCTCATTTTGTTCTTTAAATTTTATCCTAATATCTATGAAAACATGGTAAAATTTGATGCTGTTTTATTACAGATAATTCTGGATATTTTTGAAAACGCAAAAGTTAACATTTCAAAACAACAAAATTGATAATAGAAATTTCTTCCTTAATGGAAGGCTGCTTTATAATATCAGGTCTTTAAAAATGATTATAACGTTTTGAAAAAAAACAATATTTTTACATAGTTTGTGCTTGAAATAAATGCAATTTAAAAAATGAACATTTTCTCAATACACGCACCAACATTTCTTAAACGTCTTCTCCTTGTATGTGTCACTGCACAATAAAAAATGGTGATCTCATTTCTGGCGAACTCTGTGCGTTTCCGACATTTGCAAGTTGGTAACACTTCATAATTGCAAATTTGATAGAAATATGTGTTTTAAATGTGTTATAAAAGATCAGCTTTTAAGAAAAAAATTGTATAATTAATCGAGAAGAAGTATAGTGTTTGAACATTTTCTGCTGTAAATTAATGCAATGAAAAAATCTCAAAACGTTTTCCAATTTTTTTTTCAGAGAGAAAACATGGAAAGTTTGAAATAATGCGTAGAGAAAACATGGAAAGTTTGAAATAATGCGTAAGTCTCATTTTATTTGATATCTATACATTTTCGAAAATCGCGTGTTAGAAATTACGAGCGGCACAATACAATTTTTTGGTGCACGCTCAAGTTTGTGCGCAGTTGTGGCTGCTCTGTGTGGTGGTTTGGTGCCCGGTGAGTTAACTCGGTGAACCTCAGCTCGAGACTCTGCGTGAAAAAAATGTTTGCTTGAAAACACTTTTGCAGATTCATGAAGAAGTACAATATCGCAAGCGCCTAGGAAACAATGTTAAAAAATAAGTGCAGTTGCTAAGTAAATAAGAATTGTGCATAAGTCCAAGAATTTATATGGAATAATTAACAATTTTGTAAGGTAAAGCCAATAATGTAAACGGGTAAAACTTGTTTTGACCATTTATATTATCTCAAATTTACGCCAGTAATGAAGAACATTAAACATTCTGTAAATGAAAGGAAAATTGCTAAAATTACGATTCGACTAAAAAAATAGAGATTGGAGAAAAATACGCGAAAAAAAGGTTATTTGTTTTTATCAGTAATTTGGTTGGAAATTAATTAGTTTAAATTTTCGCCACATCAAGTTATACTACTTTGTTTTGTTCGTATATTCTGCATATTTTGAAAACTACAAGTCTATACGCCGTAAATTAAAATTAAAAAATATTCTATTGATTTTCGTTAAATTTTACATATTCAAAAAAGGAGCAATTGCCAATTCATTGTTTACCTCAAATATGTCTTGTAAACAGTTGTGACTACTTGCTCTAATTAAAAAAAGAATATATTTCATTGTAATTATTACATTAAAGAACTCACATCAAATCACTGCGAAGTATTTCAAGCCTGCATTTAACTTAACAAAGGAGGAGTAGTTACACCTGCGACGTGAAAAATTAGCTTCTTCACTCGAGACTACCGTGCGTGTGTATGAATCCACCCCTGAAAAGGTTTGCGTTATATAATAAAGTAACTTCCGTATGTCGCTTTCGTTCTTTTATAAGTACAACTGGTATGCCCACCCATGACCCTTAAGTAATTATATCGAGTTCACATGCAACTCCAGTAGACCTTGAAGCCACAGACCTTTCTCTTCCGTTGTAGATTTGCTGCAACAGGATTTTTCTTGAAAGTAAAAAAGTATCAAAATTTTGTTATTAGAATATAATTGTAATGACTAGTAAAGTGTGGTTTTACTGACGCGCAGAAAAGCTGTTTCAAAAATTGTTTCATTTCTTGAAAATGTCTTCCACACTTCATTTCTTTCATGACCATCTTTCTTCAAACATGTTCTTTCAGTATCTGGCATTGGACTTATCAATTAGTCGTAGTATCTGATAATGTTATACCCACGCTCGAAAGTTCCCAACACCCAATGACCTTGTATTTTAGCTCCAAACGGGATGTGAACTGGTCTTAATGCAGTTTCAAAGTTATAATCGCCATAACCAGCACAAAAGCTGCAATTATCTAGATGCCACAGAAAAATGGAGAGAAAAATTCTTTATATGTGTGTTAAAGACCACCTTACATGTATGGAAATAAGAAGTAGAACAAAAATAAAAGATGTAATCGAACAATCCTCTATTAAAAAATGGAAATGGGGAGGTCACGTGATAAGACAACAGTATAACAGGTGGGCCTAGGCTACACCCATATGGGAACCAATGAATCGGAGCCCGTAAGCGAGGAAGACAACGAAAAAGATATGAGCACAACTTTAATGAGTCAGCTGGCAGAAATAGGAGGAGACTGGCTGCATGCAAGCGTCATGGAGGTTCCTTCAAACAAGCTGAATCGTGGAAATGAAGAAAAGTAAAACCAGTAAAGTGTTGTGGGAACAATATCAATATTAAAGACAGATTGTATTAAAAGCCAAATTACATGACAATTGTTTAGTTAGTAGTAATCAATGCCAGCTTAATGTGTGAAATTTAATTCATTTGCATACTTGCTCTCAACCAAACTGCATGTGCACAAATCCGTGCAGAACTTCCCTGGGAAACCAGGAGACCCTAGCCCTTAAGGAATTGTAACCGGGCTGATAATAATAATAATAATAATAATAATAATAATAATAATAATAATTTTAATAATAATAATGATGATGATGATGATGATGATGATGATGATGATTTGTCACTTGCGTGAGAACGAAAAAAAAGCGAAGTCGAACATAAGAAGGTTCATTCATTCTGCAGCATTACTCACAGTTTTGTTTTCTCCATATTCACTTGAAATTCTTCATGTTAAATAAGTTACGACGCAATACTGTTTATAAGTTTTCGCAAACCTATTTTTAAAAATACGATATCTAATTTGATATCAAACTGCAGCGCGATGTACTTGGTAATTCAGTAGTTCACTTAAAGATGACAACATCAATGTTGCCAACGGCGTGAAAGAAAATTATGTCGTATTAAGTTAAAAGTGCCTTTAGATACTGGTGACTGGTTTTTAATCAACGCCACCTACCTAGATGGACTGTTCACTTCCCGATTAAGATTACAGCTCAGAAAAACAAAAACCCACATTTTTGGGAGCTTATCTCAATCTTCTAACCGGATCCAAAAACAAATCACCAGTTCCACTTCAAGAGACCGAGGTGCGTCGATTGACACCTCACACGTCTCGATTGATGCTCAAGTACTCTAGCCACGAGTGACGGAATCACCCACATCCGCAGACACACATTGAAGAGTTTTGTTTTCACTCGAATATTGTACAGGGATTAATAATTAACACTTACACTTGCATGCATTGTAATTGTAGGAAGACTGGAAAACATTTTTTCGCAGTTTTCGAAAAAGCAGGGTTTTTAACCAAAATGAGACCTGAACTATTCGCTTCAACATTCATCATACTACCCTTCACAGAACATGAATTGTGGCCACACCTCGTGTTAGAGTAATTTTACCTTTTTGCCTTAAGATGGAACTCCTTACGAAGGAACTTCTTAAGAAGATAAAGTAATGCAATCGTGCACCAGGAAACAGTGATTTTTTTCTAAATTAACAACTGGATTTATCTACTTTTTCGTTACCAGAGTCTTGTAATAAGGGGTTTTCTACCGAAGATTCACCTTTGTTTCGTGAACCCTTACGTGTCTTTCTCTACACTACTTTTCTAATGCGTGGCGTGAAAGTAAAAATATGATAATACATTACACATATTCCAGGTGCAGTAGTTCAGTAACGTATTTAATCTGGCATATAAACATTTTATTGTCTTGAATTGTACTTCCACAGTCACAAATTTACAAGAAATTTACAGTGCGAAAAGCTATCACTTAGTCATTACACTGTGGAGCTCACAACATTACTCTTCAAATATCAAGTAATGGGCATCAATACTGATAGAAGAATGATGTGCTCGTGATAACTCATTTGATGATAATGAGATAGCTTAAATTATTTTCTTTGGTATTTGTAATTAATTTACAGAGCGTCAGACTAGCCTCAATATCTGCTAAACGACAATTTGGCCTCGAGCAAAATGTGCAAAAAACGAGATTAACTTTTTCTTTCATTATTGATGGATATCTGTAAAATGAATATACTGCATAATTTGGTATAGTACACCACGTTATTAGTAAACTTGCATTCTTCTAGAAATTGTAAAACCATAAGTAATTCAAGATTTGTCAGTACATTTATAAGTGGTTTCATTGTAGTATGTATTTTACTTCATTTTATAAAACGAGGGAACTTTAAAGGAACGCCGCAACGAGGTGAAGTTACGAAGCTGTAAAGATTGAATTACATTATTCAGGCATTGATGCACAAGGGTGAACAGGGATGTTTAATATAATATGCGCAAGTTTCAGTTTACATTGCACAAATGCTAGGTAAAATTCTGTGATAATTGATATTATCATAACCAATAGAATAATATGATAGGCTTGTTCGTTATAAATAAATAATGTTGAAATGTACTGTAAATCATTGAGGTGATTACAGTTTCTAGTAGAAAGCGGGAAACTGACTAAGGAATTTAAGAAAGTTCTTCAGAAATTCAAGTTCAAAAGGTTAAAATAGATTCAGAATTCTTTAAGCATAAAAAGAAAACAGGGGACGTTGAATCCAAAGTTAATAAATGTGCTGGAGATGTTAATCAACTGTCACAGAAAGTTGATAACATACTACAAGTAGTTTGGGCAGTAGCACAATCTCTCTTGAAATTTCCATATAACTTAGTCTTCGTAGCAACGCCAAAGGAATCACTTATACTTCCATCAAAGCAGTTGAAAATTATTTTTCACTTCATCTTATACCGAAAAATAAGAAAGAGAGAATACTTTACTAGATGCTACAGGGAGGAGTGAAGGATACCATACCATTGATACCATAGACGCCTTCCCTAAGACAATGAAAGAATTTAAAACAAAATTCTATAGACGCCTTGCCTAAGACAATGAAAGAGTTTAAAACAAAATTCTATGGTCGTCCGGCCGAGATCGTAAAGGCAGTAGTGTCAACACGTTTTCACACCGTGTTAGTCAACATTATATATGGATAAGTTTTTCACACTTTTTCTTTACAAGGGCTTGGCAATAAGAGATTTTCTGTCAAAAAGTCGGCGTTTCCTCCCGCAGCATTACAATACTTTCTCTAAACTGCGTAAGCAGTAGCACGAAAATCTCTTACAAATAAATGGCAGATGAGAATTTGAAAGGAAGCATGCGAACAACGGCAACAGCTAGTATTTAGATTTGAACAACAGCGAATTCTCTGAGCCGTATTATGAACTACTTCAACTGGTTACTACCAGCGGATTAAATCATTTTGCCGCAAGAGTACGCATGCTCGCAAGAGAGTAGATAACATCTTTAACACATCTTGGTAATAAAGATGTACCGTAACAGCATATTATAGACAACTAAGAAGCGTATTTAACCTTTTGAGTACAATACATAGAATTTTACCCATCTGTTATAAATATAAAATGACTGTCCTATATTTTTTATTCTCACTGTTTTACTATTTACTATTGGAACTAATTTACGAAGATTATCGCTTTAAATAATATAAGGGTTGGTTGAGATGAATCAGACTCCAACAATTATAAACTGATCTATATAGCAAGGCATTTTCACAAGTACACAAGTTAACATGGATTCAAGTTACAAAAATAATATAACACTGAAGCCTGATACCTAAGGGTCAGCCTCGATTACATCAGAAACATATCCAACATTTGAATTGGTTTTGATCAAATTTTTCAAATTTCTTTGTTTTTGCATCATTTTAAAAACATTTTTAGGTAATTTTATTGATAATATTTGGTGATGTATTAGATCATCATAATCCACCTCCTACTGATGCCCCAAGGTACCTAGAATAATGTAATGAGCTTTTATATCTGAGATCTCCCCTACTGTAGAAGGAAGTACTGTAGGTAAAAACATTCATGTAAGTTAATAATTTAGAGCAAGGTACTTGCAGAATGGCTAACTAAACAGCAAACGTGTGCCGAAATAGAAATTGAACAACTGAGAGTGAGAACACCGTTACAATGAACTAGTATATTATAAAATAACAATGTGCTGAAGTATTGAGAGACATTTTACAAATTCCAGAAAGACAATAAAAATTGCCAGAAGGAATGCAATCAATTACAGATCGCAGCTTTTCACATTTGTTGGGACTGGAATAATACTTTCGTGATCACAGGAAGATCCAGAGTATTTCAGGGAAAGACAACTTCTTTTGGGTTCCGAAACAATTTGAAATATGTTTTTAAATTGTCAATTGGCTTAAAATTAAAAAAGTATGAGCATACTCATAACGAATGTACTATTTTGAATATGATGAGATTTACAAGGCAAAA